TGGATTCCATGCCTGGTCGGGGAACTGGGTCTGGGTGTTAGGGGCAGGGGTGGGGAGTCTTACTGCTAGAGATAATGTAAATGCATACTGCCTTTCTGGGGCTTACCTTGACAATGGTCTTAAGAATGTACATATTCTTTGCATAAGCAATATCACTTCTAGGAACTGATTCTAGGGAAAGAATTTGATAAGTGAGAAACACATATGAACAAGAATGTTCAAGTGTTATTTATAATGGGGAAAATAATTTAAAAATTCCCAAACATCCAAAAATAAGGGGTTAATTAACAAATTTTAGAGCATGTAGTTGATTAAATACTAGACAATTATTAAAAATGATTATGTAATTCTATATTATTGTCATGGAGAGAAGTTACAATAAAATACATAATGATAAAAAGTTTATGCAAAGGATGAATCCATTGCAATTAAATGTATATAAAAATACATACATGCAGGAACCCACAGAAAAGAAGTTCTGCAAAGATAAACAATGAAACTTTTAACAAAAATTATCTCTAGGTGGTACACTTATGTAGGGGGTTTTTCCTTTTCTGCTTGTTTCCTAATTTTGAAAATTATTACAGATTTCCTAATTATCACAGATTTCTTATGAAATTTAAGTAGCTTTTTAATATTTAATTTAAGTAACAAATTATAATGTTAATATTTAAATTTAAATAGCTTTTTCTAATCCTAAATTCTATTGAACTAACTAAAATCTACTTCATTGTTCCCAGATGACTATATAAACTGCAAAAATAATAAATGTGGATAGGTGGATGGATGGATGGAGAACTGATTGTGAGTAATCACATTATTGAAGCTCTGCTATTCACACAAAACCACTTGTTTAAAGAATGTATTAGGAAGCTCTTCTGCTAAGAATATTTGAAAATGAAATGACTTTAGTAAGTTTGAATGACTTTATTTTCAATTCAGTGTATATTTATATAAGTCCCATTTTATAAAAAGATGTACAGTTAGCCCAATTTATCTCAAACTAAATGATATAACTAAGTGACTCTGATGCTGTCCCTTTTATAGCTTAGACTAAAAAACTATTAAGATAGACAAATAGCTCTTTTGTGCTAATGTTTACGCCATAATTCTTTCAAGTGAAGTTGCTCAGTTCTGTCCGACTCTTTGCGACCCCATGGGCTGTAGCCTACCACACTCCTCCATCCATGGGATTTTCCAGGCAGGAGTACTGGAGTGGGTTGCCATTTCCTTCTCCAGAGGATCTTCCTGACCCAGGGATCAAACCCAGGTCTCCCACATTGTAGGCATAGATGCTTTACCGTCTGAGCCATTTCAAGGGTATGTATTAAACAGCTAGCAGCACAATAATGCTCCATAACAAACAACCCTATATCTTCTTTGCTGCAAGAATGCACATTAAGTGCTCATGGATCTGTTGGTGGCTATGGCGTGACTGATCTAGACTGGTTTTGCTGTGAAGTTATGCTTCAGAAAGCAGAATGGCTGGACTTGGGGCCAGGCTTTGAACTGGGTTCAGGTCTTCTTCATTCGTGATTGTTCTGGGATAAATAGCAGCAGCTAGCTAAGGCATGTTCTTCTCATGGCAGATCATCAGAGCACAAAAACCAGGCAGAATTACTATAGCCTTTTCTCACTTTCATTATCCAGAGCAAGTCACAGGGCCCAAGTCTGAGGGTTCAGTTCAGTTCAGTTGCTCAGTCGTATCTGACTCTTTGCGACCCCAAGAACCACAGCACGCCAGGCCTCCCTGTCCATCACCAACTCCTGGAGTATACCCAAACCTATGTCCATTGAATAGGTGATGCCATCCAACCATCTCATCCTCTATCATCCCCTTCTCCTCCCGCCCTCAATCTTTCCCAGCATCAGGGTCTTTTCAAATGAGTCAGCTCTTCGCATCAGGTGGACAAAGTATTGGAGTTTCAGCTTCAGCATCAGTCCTTCCAGTGAACACCCACAACTGATCTCCTTTAGGATGGACTGGTTGGATCTCCTTGCAGCCCAAGGGACTCTCAAGAGTCTTCTCCAACACCACAGTTCAAAAGCGTCAATTCTTTGGTGCTCAGCTTTCTTTATAGTCCAACTCTTACATCCATACGTGACTACTGGAAAAACCATAGCTTTGACTAGATGGACCTTTGTTGACAAAATAATGTCTCTGCTTTTTACTATCCTATCTAGGTTGGTCATAACTTTCCTTCCAAGGAGTAAGTGTCTTTTAATTTCATGGCTGCAATCACCATCTGCAGTGATTTTGGAGTCCCCAAAAATAAAGTCAGCCACTGTTCCCACTATTTCCCCATCTGTTTGCCATGAAGTGATGGGACTTCATGCCATGATCTTAGTTTTCTGAATGTTGAGCTTGAAGCCAACTTTTTCACTCTCCTCTTTCACTTTCATCAAGAGGCTCTTTAGTTCTTCTTTACTTTCTGCCATAAGGGTGGTGTCATCTGCACATCTGAGGTTATTGATATTTCTCCCAGCAATCTTGAGTCCAGCTTATGCTTCATCCAGCCCAGCATTTCCCATGATGTTCTCTGCATAAAAGTTAAATAAGCAGGGTGACAATATACAGCCTTGACGTACTCCTTTTCCTATTTGGAACCAGTTTGTTGTTCCATGTCCAGTTCTAACAGTTGTTTCCTGACCTGCAGACAGGTTTCTCAAGAGGCAGGTCAGGAGGTACGGTATTCCCATCTCTTGAAGAATTTTCCACAGTTTATTGTGATCCACACAGTCGAAGGCTTTGGCATAGTCAAGAAAGCAGAAATAGATGTTTTTCTGGAACTCTCTTGCTTTTTTGATGATCCTGCGGATGTTGGCAATTTGATCTCTGGTTCCTCTGCCTTTTCTAAAACCAGCTAGAACATCTGGAAGTTCATGGTTCATGTATTGCTGAAGCCTGGCTTGGAGAATTTTGAGCATTACTTTACTAGTGTGTGAGATGAGTGCAATTGTGCAGTAGTTTGAGCATTCTTTGGCATTGCCTTTCTTTGGGATTGGAGTGAAAACTGACATTTTCCAGTCCTGTGGCCACTGCTGAGTTTTCCAAATTTGCTGACATATTGAGTGCAGCACTTTTACAGCATCATCTTTTAGGATTTGAAATAGCTCAGCTGGAATTCCGTCACCTCCACTAGCTTTGTTGGTACTGATGCTTCCTAAGGCCCATGACTTCACATTCCAGGATGTCTGGCTCTAGGTGAGTGTGAGTGATCACACTGGTGGCAAGAATACACAGAAGAACTGTACAAGAAAGATCTTCACGACCCAGATAATCATGATGGTATGATCACTCATACTCACCTAGAGCCAGACATCCTGGAATGTAAAGTCAAGTGGGCCTTAGGAAGCATCACTACCAACAAAGCTAGTGGAGGTGATGGAATTCCAGTTGATCTATTTCAAATCCTAAAAGATGATATTTTCTGAGGGTTAGGGAAGAATATTCTGTCCAAAGGGAAGGGAAAGTGATTGAATACTGGTTAAGCAATACTCCTAGTTATTTCAGTGACCCAGAAGTAACCTACAAGATACTGTATAGAAAAAAAAAAAATCTGTAACAGGAGAGTTTAATTTGGGGGTTTATAGAAATTAACTCAGTTCTTGAATGGGCACCTCCACTACATTCTATTTTTGCTTTAATGTCTGGTCTTCCTTTTTTCTCTTTCCTATCCCACTAAATGTATCTATCAGTGAACCACCTTCCCATATGTGAGGCTAGAACTATACTGTGCGAGCAGGCATTCTGTACACCTGTATAGTTTTTCATAGGCTGAGGAGTATCTGCTTACTTAACTGGACACCTTCACAGCAAACCTCCCCTAAGAACAACCAAAGTAAGTTGAATAATTCTCCCAAAAGAGAAGCTGTTTTACAAGAAATCTTAAGATAGTCATAGAAAGGTGTTTTTTCTCTATGATTCTATCCTCTAGGGATAAAAGGAGAAATGGAAGTCAAACATGACTGTATTTCATTCTCTCTAGGTGAAAATCAGGAGTCAAGAATGTCACTGGAAAATACAATCATACTTCCCCAAGAGCTCTCCTTTCTGTCACCACAGTATCCACTGAGTAAAAACCTTCAAATCTGCCCTTGCTTAACCTCCATCCAACTGCCAGAGTTCTCCAACTCTCCCACTTACTGCTTTTATCCCCAGCGTGGTGTAGTTTACGTTGTAACATCCATAACGTAGAGAGGAAGGGTAACATATTCTTTTGATACCTATTTGAATTATGCCCAAAGATACAGGTAAGAGGAAGAAAGAAGGAAAAACGCAAGCAAGCACAACGGAGACCTACACTGTCTCATGAGACCTGCAGCATGGAAGTGACTGGTTCTGGGGAGCATAGCAGAGTTGCAGATGGTCACAGAAGACAATCTGCATAGATCTGGACTCTTGTCAAGAAAAATCTGTGCTTGAGGTGAGAATGCCACCTACCAATACAATTAAAGCCTACCGTGGAAAGTTAGAGGAGGGGAGTGGAGTCCTGTCAGTTTTGCTGAAATCAGTCCTTTTGGAGGCTCCTTCCTCTTTCTTGTTTTCTATTCTTGAGGACCACAGGGTGGTGAGACTCTGAGTCATTATGAAAAAAATGAATAGTCAAGGTATTTAAGTGGAGGGTGGGGGTGGACAGCAGAGGGCTTACCCCATCCCACTCCTCTCACTGCCCCCTGCAAACTGGGAAGACACTAGTTCCTGTTCAGACCAGCTCATTTCCTTTCTTTGGTTCCAAATATAATATCAGAAAGTGGAAAAAAAACAAAACAAAACTATACTTTCAGTCTTTGCCTAATGCATTTTCTGTCAAATTAAGACCAGAATTTACTTGAATAAGGTAGCTTTATTTTTCAAGAAAAGAGACACTTTGGGCAAAATTCTATAAATTTAAATAAAGAAATAGATAATTTGTTATAGATTATTTAAAACTTACATTTAATAAACTATACAACCTATATGGTATCCATAAAGCGGGGACTTTGTGCATTTAGCAGTAATGCTGTGTGCTGGATGGCTGCTTAGGTTTAAAACTTTTGAAGATTTAATCCTAAACTGGAAGTAAGAGAATTAATTGCTTAATATATACAAGGAAAATAAATAGATGCAAAATACTGATTAACAAAGAGTTCAGGGATTAAGGTGAAATAAATGTATTACAGGTATTCTGCTAAAATTATGCTATTAAAATGGTTAGATGTTAATTAAGTTTTCATGATTAAAGCTTAAACATTCTAAAAATAATATCCTTCTAACACTGCCACCATAGTGAAACAAATATTCTTATCCAAGGGAGTGCACTGTCTTGTTCTACCTCTCAGTAATATTCAATACCAATGACTACACCTTCCTTCTTGACATGTTATTTTCTTTGCTCCAGAATTACTCAACATCTCTCCAGCCCAGTTGCACCTTTGATAGCTCCTCCTCTTCAACAAGACCTCTTAACAGTGTACTTCCGCAGGGCTGAAAATGAGCTTCTTCTTCCCCAGTCATTCTATATTCATTCTATACAATGGCATCAAATGCCATCTAGATGCTTAAGGTTCCCAAATATGTAATTCCCAACCAGATCTATTTTCTGACTTCCAGACCTGTAGACACAACTATCTGTCTGACTCTTCCACTTAGTTCTCTGACCAGATCTCAACTTCAAGGCCAGAATGGATTTTTCAGTTTTCCTTCCTAAGTTTCTAACTATACCAAATAAGTCAATGACATCACTATTTACCTAGTGATTTAAGGGAGTAGCAGAGAAGCATAGAAGTTGTAGTTACTGTTGCCATTCTCACTCCCAGTCCATCAGTAAATGTTATTTTTCTTACCTCCAGATTATAACTCTATCTGTCCTCTTTTCTTCATCGCCCCAGTTTTAAATCTCCTCTAACTCATTCCATCTCTCTCATGTGGACTACTGCAACAGTCTCCAAAGTAGTTTCCCTTCTTCCACTCATTTATTTTAACCTATTTCCCACATACAACGAAAAGGTATTAAAATGTAAACAGGTTCCTGCTACTTCTCCACTCAAGAGGCTTCAGTGGCTCCCAATGAGACAAGAAGATAAATTCTGAAGGCGTCTCATGAACCGGGTCCCCAGTGTCCACCATTCTCCCCTATTGTGCTCTAATCCCTCTAGTCCTTCTTCCGTTTCTGTAATGGCAGCAAGCTCTTTCCCACCTCTGAGTTTCTGCCCCTCTGTTCTTTGTTTCCGTCTGGAACGTTCTCCCTAAGTCCTCCCTTATCTAACTCTGCTTCTTCATTTCCTCAGAAAACTTTTCTTGATGAACACCCTCTTTCCCAAACCAGCTTAAGGTCTCCTATTATATATCCACCCTTACTTGATAGCATGAGTCATAGTTTGTAAATGTATATCTATTTGTTTAATAACTTTCTTCCGCATTGGACTGTGAGGCCCTTATGTCAGGAATCCCTACTGTATTCCAGTTCTAGAACAATGCCTGAATAAATTTTTAATGTTGGGTGTGTGATTAGTTGAAATAATATATTTATACAACTTTATGTGCTGAACTTTTAATGAAATTAAGCTGGTTTCATAAATAGCCTCTAGTTAGTTACCACAATGTGTTGTTTATAAAATGTACGTAATACTCTATTAAATATATATGACAAAATACACTTAACCATTTCCTGTTTTGTGAGAAGTGTTACCTATTTTTGCTATTATAACTAACAATGCTACAATAGAGCTATTTCCTTGTTAGAAACTCACAGAGGTGGGACCACAGGACTACAATATTTTATTACTCCCTCTACCCACAGGATCACCAGTATTTCTTTGAAAGTATCATAACAAATAACAGTACCCCTAAAATGACTAATCTGGACTAATTAGGCCAAACTTTTTAAAAGCTTATCAAAGAAAACAAGCCTACCCTTTATGAACTCCATTCCTACAGGAAAGTCTCCCCATGTAGGTCATCTACTCATTGTATGGGTCACAACAGTAATTGACACTAGTGAAGTCTAATTTCTTAAAAGTCCTTAAGTCCCAGGAACATTTTCCATTATATTTTATGTGCAGTAAAATTATAATGACACCAGGATGTCTGTTGGGAAGATATGTTTATTGTGAATATGATATCATAAATCTGATCTACAGTTAAGGTTTTTTCATTGACTGAGCTATCAAGAGCAATAAAATGACTTGTTCTTTTAACTTATTACTTACAGCCAGAAACTGATTACCTTTACTCAAGGAGGCATTACAGAAACTTGAATTAGGAACGCTAAATATTTTTTCAATAAGATTTCTTTCTAAAGAAAGGTGCTAGAATCTGAAAGGGACTTCCCTGGTGACCCAGTGGTTCTGATTCCTCTTTCCAATGCAAGAGGTTAGGGTTCGATCCTGGGTCAGGGAGCTAAGAGTCGCATGTGCCTTGAAGCCAACAAACCAGAACATAAAACAGGAGCAATTCTTGAAGCCAACAAACCAGAACATAAAACAGGAGCAATATTGTTACAAATTCAGTAAATGCTTTAAAAATGGTAAAAAAAAAAAAAAAAAAAACATCAAAAAATTTTAAGAGATATTAGATTCTGAAAAATATTTTTTAAATCTTTTTTTTTTTCGAAAGAAAAAAGAGTGTATTGACTTTCAAATGGAAACAGACATAGAACAGGAAGCAGGTGAAGAGGTAATCCTTTCAGAGCCTGCAGCACACTTTCTTAAAGCTGGGGGGTGAAGGCCCTAGCAGATAGAATTGTAATTCTATTCCAGAAAGAGGCCTACTTTGAGCCAGTTCTGGATGGTGAGTGTGGTGATGGGTTGGCTCACACTAGTTAGTCGTGTCTGACTCTGTGATGCCATGGACTGTAGCCTGCCAGGCTCCTCTGTCCATGGGATTCTCCAGGCAAGAAAACTGGAGTGGGTTGTCATTTCCTTCTCCAGTGATGGGGTGGATTTGAACCTAATCTGGTCCAGTTAACTCTTGGAAACTGTGACAGTTCCATGCCCAGTGTTCTGGGGCTCTTTTGGACTGGACATGATGTGATTCCTGGGTTTCTATTTCAAACAGGCTCAAGTCCACCCCTGGTGCTGAACTAAATTTTTCAGAAATGTTTATTTCACTAATAGAGTTCTTTCTTCTTTCTTCCCTCCTCCCATCCCTCCCTTCTTTGCTTCCTTCCTTCCTTTCAACTAATAAATAGCTCCCCCCACTGCACCACCAACCCAGGGCCCACTGTGCTAGACACTCTAGAAGACGAACAGAAGGGTCTGGCAAATCTCAAGCCTCAAGCAGGATGGATTAGACTCATGCAAACATACTTGCACAGTGTAAACAGACCCCAGTAGGAGCCAAAGGGAAAATCCAGATAAGTGAGGGGAGATGCCTCTAGCTGACACGATCAGTAAAGATTTCCACAGAGCAGGCACTTCAGACAGCTCAAGGAAAAACAGGGTAGGATTTATACATGCAGAGATGAGGCCTGCGGATTGGAGTAAGAAAGGGCATCCAGGGCATCCAGGGCAAAGGGAATAGATTTCACCATTAAAATGTCTTTTCTTTTCTCCTTGTCTTTCTTGACTGGGTGCTCTGGGGCAGTGCTCCTTGAACTTTAATGTACAGATGAATTACCTGGCAATCTTGTTAAAACGCAGATTCTGATTCACCTGGTCTGGGTAGACAGAAATCTGCATCTCTAACAAGCTTCCAAGTAATACTGAAGCTGCTAGTCTGAAATGTGCACTTTCATTGGCAAAATCCTAAGCTGCATGTTGGCAAGGTGAGGCTGTATCAGTGGGGAATTATAGGGTCACCCATGGCTGGGCAGGTCCACATGGCTGAGAGCCTCTGGGACACAGCATTTTGGCGCTTCTTTCACTGTTAGTCTCTGGCAGGGCTCAGGGGCCATAACAAACAGAAGGGAAAGAGCTGCCGGATGCAACAGAGATGACCTGTCCTCAGTTTGTGAACGGATTGCATCATTCTATCCTATAAACGAGCAGCACAGAGGCCAGGAGAGATGGCAGCTCTGTGTGTGTAAGCAGAAGAAGGAATTCTTTGTTTGCTCAAAGCCTAGCCGCTTCTCTGGATCTTGGCGGAGAAAGTCATTTTAAAACAAAAATAGGTCCTTCAAAAGCATTGATTAGGATGCTTCAGTCTATCAAACTCTGAATTTAACGCAACAAACCAGGTCTGAGTTAAGGTGGAGGGGTGGCTGAAGGTGATCGTTAATTGTCTTAGTAGATTTTTATTTTTCAGCTGGATACTATTCCTCAGGAAGGATTTTTAATTCAAGTAAGTTAAGAGAGAAGAGGAGTTACACCTGAATATTTGTGATTGAAATTCAGAACTAATCACTGTCTAAACTTATGTATGTCTTAGTAAATCCTGAGTCCTAACTTAATAAGTACAAATGTTGAAATCTTTAAACTATTAATTCCCCTTCCCACCCCAGCCTTAGGCCTTTTCTTTGGAAATAGTAATAGGTGAAAACACTAGGACACTTGGGCAGGAGAAGGTGGAAGTTTTATAAAAAGCACCTTCTATATAAGTAAAATTGTTTTTGTGAAAATAGGAATGCTCTATTGCATCTGTAGAGATAAAATATGATTGCTATAGCACAGAGGCTTCTTAGAAACAGCTTGGCTTGGAAATCCAAAACATACTATAGGTTTCCCTCTCCCATTTTTCTGGAAGTTACCAAGATAGTGGTCATGGGTGGAAAGTAATATTTATTCAGCACTTCCTGTGGGCAGGTACTATGCTAAATATTGTGTGTGTGTTCCTTTTTAATCCTCCAATTAAAACCATGTGCATTTTTTGGAGATAAGAAATCTAGTATTTAGACTTTGCCCAAGGCTATAAACAAGAAGAGTTGAAGCACAAGTTCAAACATGATCTGTCTAAAATAAAATTCATGTCCTTTCTCCCATAGTATGCAATTATTTAAAAACAGAGCAATGAAGTCCAATGGAACCCAGTCTTTTTGCAAGACTAAAACTTCTTTAGTCTTAATTTTTTCAAGGAACTGCTTCTTGTTTTATTCTATGTCTTATCTATATGTTGGTATATGAAAGTTGAAGCAGCTTAGAGGA